TGACTTCACTGTCGTTTTCCAAAAATGTGGCCATGAGTTTTTGGCCTATCGGGCCTCACCAATTATGTGAGTAGTATGGCACTGCAAACTTAACCAGTGACCCATTAACCCACAACTTGTTCTTGAAGGAAACCAAACCAAGGCTTATTAAAAACAACTAAAAAGATCAGCCAAACTCGTATGACAGGTTCAAGCTGTAAAGCCTCAAGAAAGATTTAGAGGCGGCATGCTATTCATTTTTTGGAGTAATGCAAAAACAATCAAGACTTTTATTGAAGACAGTTCGAGCGCCGTTTTAGTATCCAGCATCGATACAAGTGTGTTACAAGTTTTCGGCTATGGGGATTGTGCAACGCCTAATTGGAGTACCCATGGATGAATGGGGGGATGAATCCGGCTGAGCCCTTTGGATCGGGCGGTAGCTTACGCCACCTAGCCCCTTTGTTTTACCATTTAAGCTTAGAATATTTAAATGTGAAATCTATATTCATTCTGCACTGCAAAGAAAGTGAGGCTATAAAACCCCCTTGCCATCCGTTAATAAGAAAATACCTAGTTTTCTCTTGCTTTCTGCCACCATTCACTTAATCTTTGCTTGGTAATCACAGATGCTCATTAATTCCTGCAACTCGGTCCTGTTGTTAGCCATTAGTACGAAATCATCCGCATACATCAATCCCGGTAAGGATTGCCGAATTTTTTGGCCTAACTTACTGTACGAAAGGTCGAATCCAGTTCTGCTGTGGCAGCGCTCCCAATGGCCACATAGATGTTACAAGGTGTTGTGACGCACCTCCCACTCCCTGCGCTTTCGTATGCATCCGTGACCGTGTCACCGTGTTCCCAAATTTGCTCAATCTCACTCAAGAGTAAAGGTGTCATCCCTTAGCATTCGAAAACCTACACATGTCCAGCGCTGCTCTACATATGCTTTAAAGGGCAACTTCGCTTCATTTTCGCTACAGAGAAAACACTGTGGACCTTTTAGTATCATCTCAGAAGACCACAAATAAAGTATTACGATACAATTCCGTCTAAATCTATTGAAAAAAGGCCAGGAAACTTTGATACGAGCCCTATCACCAAATTTGCTCACTCTAGCGGATGACGGAGGTGCAATTAACAGCACAGTCAATACGATAGAGTTGGCGCACCCAACATTGAGTCACTACCTCAGGGTCATGACCATGTGATGCACATAACATCAGTCATGTCCATGTTTTGTTTGTTTTTACTTCTCCGGGCAAGCCGAGCTAGTGACGTCAGCAGCGTCTCCGCCCAATGTTGGCTCAGCGGCGTCCACGCGACCAGCGACAATCCGGATGCCCGACGCCCCCGAAGCTTCTCAGCATCATCTGCTTCACCTTTGTTGCGATACCGACATTTTGTTTGTGCTATGTAGGCATACTTTGCAACTTATTTGTGTGATATTTAAGAGAATTAACCATGTGTTAATGATTACAGGATATTCTTTTAGGAATACTTGGCTATGCTTCCAATTAAGCGTAGTCCCCGCAGCTGACTCCTCCCCTTGTAGAGTATCAGGTGATTGTTTGCACCATGCGATTTGTCAACGTTGCCTGTCGGAGTCGATGTTTCCCTTTCAATTCTGGTCGATCTCGACACATGTCAAAAGCAAAATTGCATAAAAAAAATTCAGATTTCACCATAGCAAATGGCCGTTTATTAGTGCTTTCAAGGGTGGGATCAGACTTAATCCCAAGTTTTCTGCAATTGAGCGGAGTTGCTCTTTAAAGGGACACTTCAACGAAAGTTGAAATATACCCGTCGTGTTCAGAAATAGGTTGAATATGGTCCACAATATCTGTAAATGACAATCGCACATTTTTATTTCGAACCTGGTGCCTGTATTTTTCGTTATAAATGGCAAATTTGGCAAGTGCTTGAAGAGCAGCCAGCGAAGAGCACGTGACATCCTTCGCAATTCTGACGTAGTTCGTCTCGGGACGAGCAAAGCTGCGACGAGGCTGACGTCGAGAGGATGGCCTAGTCGTTCCAGCCACTGAAGCGGCTGCTTTTGTATGAATTTCGAGTGACAGGTTAATCTTCTATAATCTCGTAGAGGGACAATAGCGACTTCTGGGACTCACAGAAGAGGTTCTCGGGGGGGACAGGGGAGTTCCTCCTCCTCCTCTACTCTCATGGTGACCGGGGGCGAGACAGTTAACGTCATTAGCTTTCAAGGTTCTTAGACTGGCATTACAAACGAGGCGTTAGAGACATCCACCAGGTGCTCTCTGCTAATCGTTTAATTTGTTTCAAAATTCCGTTTCGTGTCTTTTTAACAAGATATTGGTGTGTCCAATGAGATACTGGTTTTTTGAACGCATATAGACCAAAAAATAAGCGCCAAAATTTCGTTGTAGTATACCTTTAATGTGATTTGGCTCGCCGGAAGGGAATGTGCTGACATGTTAACTCTTTACTCCCATTTGTTTGCGGTGAGAGACATTACTGGAATAGAATTCGACAAATTGCTCGCTGCTCGCCTCAATAGGGTGAGTATGTCTATACTATAGATGAAAAATAAAGCTTAGTTTGAGGAAAGTCTTTATTTCACCAGACTAGTATAACTTCTCTCTCAAGTGTGTCACGCATTTTGAAAGAAATTAGCGACTTTTGCCTGGCGCAGCCTTTTAACGGCGTAGCGGGTTGCGGACGGATGTTGCGAGCGTTCAGGATTGCTAACCCTAATCACTTTTCTCCGGCGATGAAAGCGCGTGAAAATTCGCATCCTTTATACGGTATGCGCCAGTAATACCTTCAACTTGACCACAGGCATGAAATGCTCCAAATAAGAAATCCGGGCGATGTTCGAAGAGCACAAATGCTTTGAAGCACAACTGTAGTGGAAGTAAACAAACACGACGACACGGGCGTTTCTGCCGTCTTGAGAGCGCCGCCACGACATCGCCGCACGAGTATGTGGATCTTCCATTCTAGTACGTGCTAGGTTATCATAGCGACACACGACGAAAATTCACAGTCAAGGATAGCGCTTTTACGCGGTACGATGAGCTTCTACCAAAACTGACGCCATGTTTGCGGATAGAAGCAGCCGGCCCGCGACCGGCATGCAACGCGCGCGAACACTTCTCCTCGACCTGCGATTGGTCTGTCGTTGCGGTTGTTTCCAATGCAGCGGAGGTACGCACGCACGTGAACGACACGTGCATGCGTCCCTCCGTCGCTAAGGCAACTGAAGCCTCTCTCTTCGCTTCTTCGAGCAAACTCCTTGCCCTGCGAGTGCCGTTTGCGGCTCGCGCCGTTATCTAGTGTCGCACAGGGAAGAATGCTCGCTGCGTCGGCGCGGTTGGCGGGCTGTTGCAGAAACCGCACTATAACCGATATTTCCCTTCGCGCGCCTGCATTTTAAGCGGTATGTAATTACATGGAGTTCTATGGGAGGCCAACCGGTGGTTTAAAAAAGTCGCGTTATACCCGGTTCTGCACTATGAGCGGTTACGTTGTAAGTGGTCTATTCTGTACTACTAAACTGTTATACAGCGCAGTGTCAATCAGCTTTTAGAATTCCAATTGTTTGCAGATATGTACAGGAAGTACATCCAGGACAATCCCTCCGTGAAGGAGATAGCCGTCCTGGCCGACCCAAATCTCTCTCCCGACAAGAGAGTGGCTGCTGCCGCAGCGATGAGGGAAGGTCGTCTCAAGAACATGAACAAGTACATTGCTGAAATATGTAATGACCAGCAGAAGAAGTAAGTTGGGTATATTATAGTGCCAGCATTAATTTGCGTATTAATTTCCCTATAAAGTGTGGAAAGAAATGCCATATATGTTCTACGTTAGAATCCTGACTTATGTATTATTGAGGATAATTTGACTTACAAATAGGATTTTATGATCACCTGCTCTGTTTGTAAACCTTTGGGTGCAGTGCAAGCAAACATATGTTAGCACAGCATATCTGTTCCCGGTGTACACGTTTTCCTGGCTGTTATGTTCATGAGCACCAGTCTTGTTGAGCTCCCATAGGAATATCTCCATTAATTTTCCGTCTTTTGAATTCGCGTTCCAAAAGTTTCTTCCGAGTATCTGCCTACGCAACCAGGCAACACATTGGGTTGTGGAGTAACCAAGTTTGGCCTGAGATGGAACGACAGAAATCTATTATAACATGCAAAATGTATATTTTGATTCTTTCTCTTTCTCATGATTATGATGAAAGTTGTATTCTAGTCTCCCTGCATTTTTAATATTTCTACCTCTTTATAAATGGTAAAAATGCAGTGCTTCAGGACAAAATATTCTAGATGCAATTATGACTGTATTAGCGGTGATGAAAACTGAAGGTAGTTGGTTGTTTTTTTTATTTTGGTCATAAGCTGTTATAACTCGGCTGTATGAGTAGCTATTGGTGTTTCGGCAACGTTTATTATTGCGTTGATATTAATGCACTGAACCCAGATAACAGTGAAAAGACGACAGGGCGCATTGGGTAGAGAGGAGGAGAGTAGTGAAGGACAAAGGCGAGAGGGAGGCAACATCACAGGTTTGAAGCCTATGAGTGCGAGCGGCACGAGGAATGAGAACGGGTGACGTCACGGCGCAACATGCCGAGTGCTGAGGCTCCAGTTGCTGGGGCGAGTCTGAACTCTGCGGAGCGTGTATGCCTTTGTTTGGAAAAAAATTAAAGCGGGACCCATTGGTGGATTCTTAGGAAATGCGTTAGCATTACCTTTCAGAAATTCCACGCGTGACCCTTTTTGGGAAGTGCTAACACTGACCCTGTAACGAAGCCATAAAGAGGCAGCAAAAAACAAAGGAAGCCAAAGAGTAAGCCAGGACAGAAAAGTGATAAGATCATCCTTAGCATTTCCCAAAGGGGGTTATGTGTGGAGCTTCCCAAGCGTCATGCAACACATTTCCTAATAATTAAGTACAAATTTTCAGGGCTATGCATACAAGAGCAAGTCAAACATGCTAAATTACCAATCCGGTTTCTATTCTGCTTTTGAACTTGCAGTGACAAACTTGCCCGGGCACTTTTCGTGGAGGAGAGTGAGGTAAGATCATTAAGACTTTAATGGGCGATTTCTCGTGAAGGGTTTGAAGAAGATTATTTTGAGACACTGTCATAAAGCAGGATGGGGGGTCAAACTTGGGTTTATTTAGATATGCTGCATGCCTTAAAGTGCTTTAAAGGGCCCCTCCAACAATATTTAAGCATCTGCTTTTTTTGCGCTTTCCGCCTTTTTAGCGGCTTGGGAGATGCTGGGAACAAAAACGAAACCACAAAATAATAGTGTTTCGTATGGTGGCGCTGTGTGGTGCTAAATGCAAGCAACTGTTGACGTGGAGTAACCGGTTTCAGTGACCAGAGTCATCAAACGTTTCTCTCTGGGCATGGAACGATATGTTTGATTGTGTTCCCCGTCCTTATTCTGTATAAAAGTTTTTTATGTTGAGTTTTGAGAGCATTGAACTAACTAAACAGAGTTTCAAAACTTGAGTAAACAACGAGAACAGAACATAGTTGACTTGCCCCCGTGAGGAGCAGTGCCATGATCCCACCATTGGAGGTTCTTGATATGTAATGGAGTCTGTTTTCTTGCTTGATTTTGTCATTTTAAAATTCTCATAACTTCTGGAATAATGGGAATTTTGTAATGAAAATTGTTCCTTCATGTTACTACATCGTCTGAGGTCGGCCTCACCGCAAGTTTTAACCAGTAAAGAGATTGTTAGAGGGGCCCTCTAAATACTACGCCGGAAAAAAGATTTTTTTTCCTAAAAGTTTTGGAGTCGAAGCTGGCATATTTTTGGGCTTAAAGGTATGTCGCCATGTTTTAGAAAATCCTTTTAGATTTTGATCTTCAAACATGTACATTATGTCTGCCTTGTGAGGGGCAGTTTCGTAAAGCCTTTAGGTGTGTTACTCAACTAAAAATAAAACAAATAGTACTTTTTAATAAAATGGCCCCAAATATCCGTGTTATAACAACCGTAACGCAATTCGGGCACAGGCACGCGAAATGGCTTGGTCGTAATGTAGATGTATGAGCAGGCTGTCCGATGATCTAGAACCTTTCGATTGTCGTGAGTGTGCTATAGCCAAAGTACCAAAACTTCTGTCATTTTGGGTGGTCATGTTTCAATTCAAGCATCATAACATCAATACTTATTTGTAATTTTCAATTATCCTTGTTGGTTGCACAATCTAATGTGTAGGGAAGATCTGTACCAAATTTGGTTTGAAAAATGTTTATTTATAATAATGTTACGGGCGTTCTCACAGCGAGAAACCTTAGAAAATCAAGTTTTGAGGAAAGCAAAACTCGTCCTAATTTTTCGAAGCTGTTATTTCTACCATGTCCAGAAATACAATCGCTCTACTGGCGTGAATGCGCGAATCCTTTCTATGTTAATTGCATAGCCCCTTTAAACCATTTCATCCTGTCCTCAAAATGTTTCTAATTACAGGAGCCCATCAGTGGTGCTTCAACCTCGGGGAGCTAAGAGAAGATTCAGTGAGTGCTATCACAACACTTTCTTCTAATACTAATCTTAAAACGTCCCTAATGGATGATGGAAGTGGCACCTCTTGAGGCAAATGAGCTTGCTTTCTAGTCTCTTGGTGAATTTGGATGGTCAATGTTCAGCAAGCTATTACCGGGCACTAGGCAATAGCATTTGCACGATCAAAATCCTGCAAACGCGCGCTGTTCGAGTGGGCGGTCTTTGGCCAGCTCAGGTAAATTTCTGGCACTTTTTTTCACCCAAGCACCAAGCAAATGTTGCTGGTGGGTACCAGGCAATATCCGGTGTGATTGTATCCTGATTACAAGAATAGATCAATGACGGAATTAAATTAATAAGGCCTCGAGCTGTTTGTGGGCACATTAAGCAAAAATAAATAAACAAATAAATAAAGTTTCAAACTGATCTGTAGTCATTCGGCAGTTACTGATCAAGTCAAATGAAGCCATTTTGAGTTGAGGCACACAACATAAGCAAAAATGCTTTAAGAATGAGGGCATGGGCGACAGTGCCGATAACCATCTCCCATCTTGCATAGTCGATGCCATGACTATCACCAGTTTATTTTTTTAGCAGAATGTTTTTTATAGTAGTTAACCTCACTTTTCCGAGTGCCACGTGCTCAGCTTCATCGTCACAGTTTTACGTTGGCTACTTTAGTCCAACTAGTCACTCCTTGCAGTCTACCAACAAATAGTTTTGCCCTCCTAGACACCCCTTATGTTTAATTTATTTCAGCCGGGTACCTTTACAGTTTGGCGAATCAGTTAAATACATATCAACAGCATTCTGATTAAGACAGTTTGCTACACAGTGTGAAAAACAACTACCAATTTTTTCTGTTTCTTACTGGTTCAGTCGGATGTGAGTGTGACGAAATGGAAGAGGGCCAATTCTGTGTTCCAAACTGCATGTACTTTCTCTTCTGGGTAGAGGCCGAAATTCGAGTGGTACAGTAAACGTTTTGTTTCGAGATACAGTGACCTGGCAATCCGCACAGAAAAAATACCTGAGGTTCTCCTTGCGGGGAAGAGGCGAAACAATCTGCCCGTCTAACATTTTGAAGGCCACAGTGTGTCACCGAAAGATTTCTGCCTGTGCTGCCAGTAAAATCTTGCCAGTGATTGGCCGCCAAAACTTACCATTTTTGAAGAGTCGGACTCAACACCAGCTCTTATTTTTCTTAAAGGTCGACGTACGGTTTGCACATTTAAAGCAATAGCTTTATGGACGACACTTTGCGGAGATTTCGAGCTCGTGGGCTGTCGTCGCAGCTATCAACAGCACACACACAAGCTTCCCCCTGTCCTTCCCGCATGAAGGACTGCCACTCACTTTTACCTTCGCCTCTCCCTTTTTACACGGAGGTCTCCCACGAATAGAAAGGAGTTTACCCGTGCACATCCACAGGCTTTCCACACGGTGTGCATGCAAACTGTACTAAAATTAACTGTTGGACTATCATAAAAAATGACGCACGAAGGACGCAGCACAAAAAAGAGAAGGACACAGGACAAGCGCTTGTCCTGTGTTCTTTGTCTCGTCTTTCGCGGTTTAGTGTTTAATTAGGTTTCGGGAGAGAGCTGTTCGCGGAGGTAAGATGCCGCGGGGGTGACTGCGTCGCCGCTTCAAAGGCGCTTACTCCGCCGAGGCCGTTGTCGAGTGCAGGCAGCTTGGCTAGCTTGGCCACTCTGCGAAAAGTGTCGAGTGGGACACGGATGAACTTGCGGGCAGACAACGACCCTTGATAGCAGATGCCCCCTTCATATCTACACCTCAATTCTTTCATCCGCATCCTCTTCCCGTAGAAACGACCGTGTCACGGGTGACCAGGTTCAAGCAAAACAAAGGCCATAATTTCTTCTACAGACCGCTACTATGAGAACACCATCGCATATGCAATGATGTATCGATGCAAACCGACACTTATGTGCACGTGCGATGGTGCACAGTGCACACGCCCCTGCCATCACGCGGTGTGTGGAAATATTGCACTTGCACTACAATAAAAGAAACATTGTACACCACCGTTTTCACAGTTTCTGCCAACATTTCACCCGCATTGCACGAATATCACACAGCTATCACTGTCACTTCTACCTTCATTCTGGCCAAAAGGTGCCAAGTTTTTTGTATATCCCTCTTTCCTAGCTATATCCTCTCCACGTTTCCCATCCATAATGCAACTCCCCCTGGCAGTTTAGGAGAGGGGATTGCTTAGAGATTAACTCCCCTGCAGAAGATCAAGGTCGAGTATCAGTCTTTAAGGGGAGGGGGTCATATGTAATATTTTATGGGACTGACAGATAGGAAGGAGACATGTCACTGCCTTGTTTTGGAGCTATTGCTGCCTACGCTGTCCATTTACATGGCCTCTGCTTGAGCCCCAAAACTTTATTTACATTCGGTCTAAGGTAGCAATACATCCGTTGTCGTATTCAAGTTTATCCATGGAGAGGGATATTACCATATCTTCTCTGACATCTATAGCATCTAGAGTGTGGGTGAATGCACATATGTGCATGTGCCCATGCTCCTGACTAGCAGTGCCACTGGCTGTGGTGGAGCAGGCACCTGATCTTCCTTTTGTCATCTTTTCAGGTGTTCAGGTCAACGGTCATGTGCTCAACTCTTTTTCCTGTTTTCTCTTTGTCTTGGGCTAGAAATAAAACAGGTCTGTATGTTTTGTGTTGTTTCTTTTAAAGTGATGGCTTTACGGGTGTCACTTTGCAGAGCTTGTGGGCACGCAAGCTTTCTTCCCTTCCTTCCCACGTGGAGGGCTCCCGCTCATATGTGCCCTTGCATGTGCGCACCCTCCTCCTTCTTAGAGGTTATGCACGGGGATTTCTTTCGTGGTGCACAAGCTTGGGAGAGCACCGTTTGAGGAGGATCCGTTGCATTGAAGGCGCCTACTCTGCCGAGGCCACTGTTGCATGCAGGCAGCTGGGCTAGCTTGCCTGCTCTGCGGAAAGTGCTGAGTAGGAAAGATAAACTTGCGGACAGACGTCGACCCCCAATTCTTTAATCCGCGTCCCCTTTTTGTAAAAAGGCTCGGGATACACCTAAGCACTTAGTTGTGAATGCGAACGTAGAAAGGTCCTGGATGTAGGCGACGGCGCTGCGGTCGTACGGACTGGAGGATCCGACCGCTTTCGAGTGTTCCCAAGGGCTTCGGCGAGCAGCTTTGGCTTGCGGTTTGGCTTTTTGGCGGTATGGCAGCGTAAAGAGGCTCCTGTTCTGACCTGATCTTTACCCCATGTTTGCTGTCGTTTGTGGCCAATGAAATGTCATGCCGAATAAGTGTTTAATCGCGCATCGAATGCAATGCGAGCCGCCCTGGCCGCCCGCTTCACGCAGCCTATCCAGAACATGCTTTAGTGGCGCCCTCTTGAGCCGTCGACACGGAGTGCGGCAGCCCTGAGCGCTCGCTGAGCTCACTGCCCCTCCTCTAGTTCACAGCCACTCAAGCAACCAAGGACGTCTTGAAGGAGGTTATTTTTTGCTTGTTTTTGTAATTTTAACTTTCCTATAACTTTTAAAATAAAACGAAATTCGAGAAAAGACATGTTTTGCTAAGTTACTACGTTCAGTGCGCTCAGGTTCGGTGTAAATTAAAAACCAGTGAAAAAGTCCTTGCAGGGCCCCTTGAATGCACGTTGCCACAGATCATTTAGGGGTCTAGCGTGCTCATGTAGGCCTTAAGGTCTCACTATATAGATGGGATCCTGTATGCGGATACAGATCCTATGTAGCTATACGAAATCCTGTATGCGGGTCCAGATCCTATATAGCTATACGGGATCCTGTATGCGGGTCCAGATCCTATATAGCTATACAGGATCCCGTATGCGGGTCCAGATTCTATATAGCTATACGGGATCCCGTATGCGGGTCCAGATTTTATATAGCTATATGGGATCCTGTATGTGGATTTGGGTCCCGTATATGTATATAGGATCCTGTATCCAATAGCATCGCATAAAATTTATACAGGACCCATATGAGATATGTATGCAGGTTTTTTCAATAGGGATCTGCCTCAGATGCAGCCACGCGATCTGCCCTCTAATTTCTAGCAATTCCCACGTGACTCATCGCCGTACAGAATTTGAGATTACATCCAAGGTGAAGAGTTTTGTTTATTTTAAACCGAACATGTCGTGAATGTCCATTCTTTGTAGAACCCTGTAGAAAATTGCAAATAAGACGCTTTGTGAACCGACTGTTGTCCAGAATAGGCTCAATGGCTAATAAAATATAATATAGTTCCCTAGTGAAGATGCTCGCTATTGAGTAAAGCTACAGCCCTTCTAAGATTACTAGAATAAACTGCACAACCGACGGAACATTGTGATTTCGACACGTCGGTATAGTACTCGGTGCAACCTGTACATATACATTCTTGCAAAGATAAAAAATCTTGCTGAAGAAACTGTGGAGCAATGGTCTTCTTACCGTATTTGGTAAAGGACCAGTCAGAACATGCAGACACCTCGTTGCAAGGGGCAATTTTGCCTACAGATTTTGCAAGTTAACACCACTAACGGAAGAGACAGGGTGGTTGAGAGAGCTACAAATACTTTGAGCTCGAAAATCTTGGGGGAGCTCTATTGTTCGCTTGTTTATAACAAATTACAAAACTGAGGGGTGTGTATAATACTTTGAGCGGGATTTTTCGGATCCAACAGAACTTTGTAAAAATAAGACAGTTCAGGATTAAAAACAGCGCAAAACGACGAGGACCAGACGAAGACGTAACACGGACGCAGCGCTGACTTACAACTGAGATTATTGATCGCAAAATTAAAATTTATACTTGTGTTTTCACAAACAAAAAGAAGAAAAGAGGAGGACAAATAAATGTTCAAGATCACATCAATAGGAAAATCCCTGACTTGCTTGGCTTTTTGTTTTGTTCTTTAACATGTGCTTTGTATGGCTCTGTGATGGTATATAGTGCGATTTTGCAACCAATAAACTCAGTTGTAAGTCAGCACTCGTCCGTGTTACTTCTTCATCTGGTCCTCGTCGTTTTGCGCCGTTTAAAATTCCTTAGTATGCACCAACTCCCCCAAGCCTCTACTTTGGCACCCTTCATTTCTCGTACGCTGGGCCTTCTTATTTGTTCCCCTATTTAGCTTGTTTTATCATCGTCGTCTACACCATAGCCATCTGGAACGCATCAAGGTTCTCCTTTAATGTCCGCCGCTGGTGGCTGGCTCAAGGGATAATCCTACACTACGGAGGCTTCCAACCTTCGCAGCGGCACAGAGTCAGGATGTTCAAGGTCCTCAGTTCGGAATGGCACTGACAGTCCCGCTCTTACAGGGAGTGCCCTTATCTTACTCTTCAAGGCGCGACTTAGAACGGTCATGGAAGCAGGGGTGGCGTGAGGACCGCGATCTCGCTGATGCTACTGTTGAGTTTCGTTGGCAACGAATCCTTTCGGAGCTACGTGCTTCGACACCCAAGAAGCCTGCGTCCGACATGTCCACCGTGCTTACCCAGGGTCAAGTCTCCCTGCCCGAGAGCACCCGTTGTGTTTTGGACCTGGGTCCGAAGGTTGCTGTGAAGCCGAGGAAATCGCGGGCGGAACTTCTGAGCCTTGCCCGGGATTTTTCCAGGAAGGTTCCGGAAGCGGAAGCCGAGAAATGCGTCTTGGAGGGAGTGGACTTGTTGACCAAACGCACGCCTGGCGTAAGCAAAGTTCCCGTTCACCAAGTAGCATCCTTTTGGAATGATAACTCTCTGTCCTTGTTAGCCTTAGATAAAGAAGGGTGGTTTCTTGTGCTCCGAGTAGACGTCTATAAATCCAAGGCACTTCGGGCTATTTCGTCTGTGTTCCTGCCTAATAACAGAATCTCCCTAACTAAGCAAACAGCCGAGGCGAAAAACTTCGTAAGAGGCTCAACCTCGAGCAGCTTGTCAGAAAGAAAAAATGACGCTGGAAAGCAGCTTTGATTGGAGCTCTTCTTTGCAGCAAAGACGTACACGTTAGCTTGCCCTTTGGTGTCATTTTCTCGGAGGCTGGTGCTTGGCAGAAGTATGCTGCTTTCTTTCAGCAAAAAAGTTTGAAGCTGTTACAGACTGTCGATTATTTTCTTGTGAAGAGTTGTGATAATATCATTTCGTTTCTTAAAGACAACCAGCGCACTAGTATTATGACCTGTGCATTCCATATTAAGGTTTTCTATTACTTCTTGCCACAAAATGAACTCCTCGCCTGCATTCGTGACTGCATCGATGTGCTTGGTGTAGTTGTCTTTCAAAATGCAGCGGGGCTTTCAGTTGAAGGCGTCAGGGGGCCCCTCGACATGTACCTGAGGTCCAGCTTTGCGACTTGGCAGGCTGATATTTATTTGCAACGGCAAGGGGTATAAATTGGTTGTAGCATTGTCCCCGTGCTTAGTGACTTGTTTTTAGCAAGCCTTCACCGCACCATCTTTGAGGGGCTTGGTGAAAACAAAGTTGCAAAGATGCTCCGGTATGTAGATGATTTTCTGGTTTTGCTATTCCCGATGCCTTCCACTTCCTTTCGTCGATAACTCAATTTTAGGCATTTTTAGTGGTTGCCTTTCGCCACTTGTTTTGACTCATGAGGTGCCTGAGGCAGTATGTATCCAATTGTTAGATTTGATTTTAATCATTTGTCTAGGCCATGTTTGTTAGGGCTATGAACCGCGTGCTTGAAAGCCACTGTTGCCATTCGAGTCCACTCACTGGAAAAGTGTTAAGCGAGTGATTGCGGGGACTTTCTATACATATGCGCTGCGGAGGTCTTTTTATCACAAAATTAAACATAGCTATGACAGGAAAACTGAACGCCTCGCAGATACTGGACTCTCCTCCGACGTGTTAATAGCAGTCGCCGAGTCTCTGCTCAAATATGTAAAGGGCATACCTGTGACAAGTGAAGAAGAGGCCAACAACAAAAAGCGATGTCAAGGAGAAAAGTTCCCTTGGTATTCCCTACCTTGGCCTACAACTTAAAACTCATTGCGGGCAAGTGTGACGTCGACGTTTTATTTTCTGTGCCGGACAATTTGTGGAGGTTGTGCAAAGCCATTTACCCTTCTTCGAGGTTGGCCAAGGCTTGCAACACGAGGCATTTTTATCGATTCGTCGTGTGTTCAGAGGGAGTTTTTTATTCTCTCAATCTTGTGTCAAGCGTTCCATTGGCCAGACGGGCCGCTGACTCAATTAAAGGTTACGAGAGCACGCCTACAGTGTCTCTACAACCATTCCTGGTCCTCTGGGCATTCATTGCCGCGACTGTGGTTGCCTACCCGACTTGCAATGGTGTGAGGTTGCTAAGCATCACACAGACCAGCTTGCTCGTGAAATTCTGGAGGCTGCTGAGATAGCGAGGTTGGGCGCCGCATGTGTATTCTATTGAAAAAGGCCCATATGAACTCGGCTTCTTGGAAATATTGTATTACAATGAAGATGATGAAAACCAATAAAAACTTATTGTTAACCGATTAACCCAATACGCACGATGGGAATTCATATCGGTTGCACAATATCCCGATATAGTATGCGGTTATTGGTATACAACAGGATATTGGAGCACAATATCCCGATATAACTTGCGGTTATTGGTATACAACACGATATCGGAGCACAGTACCCTGATATAATACACAGTTATTGGAATAGAATACGACATCGCGTGC